ACAGGCAAGAGGAAAGGGCTAAGCACATCATGAACAGAAGGAACCCCAAATCCCCGCTGCCCCTGCTGGGGCCTCTCATGAGACTTAGCATTGTCATCCTGTAGCCCTCACCCCACTCCATGATGAGGCTACCTGTGGGCTTGACTGCACTTACCCGGGTCCTCCCCTACGGACCCTAGCTCTGGGCTAGCCTCTGTTAGCTCTCGTAGATGCACTGTGACCCTTTTCCCACCTCCACTAGGTGGCCATCGACTTCACGGCCTCCAATGGGGACCCAAGGAGCAGTCAGTCCCTACACTGCCTCAGCCCCCGTCAGCCCAACCACTACCTGCAGGCCCTGCGTGCAGTGGGAGGCATCTGCCAAGACTATGACAGGTGGGAGGCGGGGGGAGGCTGGGGAGAGGGGAGGCGGGCAGGGAGGCCTTGCCCAATGCCCTCCCCCTTTTCTTCTCCCCAGTGATAAGCGGTTTCCAGCATTTGGCTTTGGGGCTCGAATCCCCCCCAACTTCGAGGTAGGCTGGATTTGAGAAGAAGGGAGGATTTGGTGGGAGAGTCAGAAAGGAAGGAAAGGCATCTTCTCGCTGCCCTCACCTTACTCTCACAGGTGTCCCATGACTTTGCTATCAACTTTGACCCGGAAAACCCTGAATGTGAAGGTAAAGAGGGGAGATTTTCACCTGCCCCACCTCCCCCCATACAGCGTGCACAGCCTGTACACCTCATGCAGGGGCACAGACGCCATCCTCATGGGCCACCCCCCTGCCCTTTGGCGCACTCAGCTCCTGTCTTCCTTTGGGACTCCCAGTTCCTGACCCAGCAACTGCCTACCCTCCTCTCCCAGAGCCTGGACCATCCAACTCTCCTGCTTAGTGAGGAGCTTAAGGGGCCAGGCAGTCCTTAGACAGGGAAGGACCTCCTTGGTTGAAGGGGTGTCAGGAAGGGCTCCCTGCTAATCTCTGCTGGCCTCACCTCCTGGCCTACAGAGATCTCGGGAGTCATCGCCTCCTACCGCCGGTGCCTACCCCAGATCCAGCTCTATGGCCCCACCAACGTGGCCCCCATCATCAACCGCGTGGCCGAGCCCGCTCAGCGAGAGCAGAGCACCGGCCAAGCCACGGTGAGGAGAAGAAGCAGGCAACCAGGCGCTGCCCCACTGGGGGGTCCTCTGGTGGACTCAGGGCCAGGGCCAGGGCCCGGGCTTGGGGCGGGTGCCAAGGCCCTTGCACACAGAGCCTACCCTTCCTCCCCTCTGCCTGCTTTCAGAAGTACTCGGTGCTGCTGGTGCTCACGGACGGAGTGGTGAGCGACATGGCCGAGACACGCACAGCTATCGTGCGTGCCTCCCGCCTACCCATGTCCATCATCATCGTGGGTGTGGGCAACGCGGACTTCTCAGACATGCGGCTGCTGGATGGCGACGACGGTCCTTTGCGCTGCCCCCGAGGGGTGCCCGCGGCCCGCGACATCGTCCAGTTCGTGCCCTTTCGGGACTTCAAGGATGTGAGTGCCTGGTGCCCCCCACTGGCCGAAGGACGCCTCAGCCCCTCAGGCCCTCAAATCCGACCAGCCTCTCCCACACCGGGTTGAAGGCTTCCAAATAAGGCCGGAGGCCAGCTGGCCACCCCGAAGCTCCGCCCCTCCCCTGAGCCCTCCCCCCGACCTCCGGCCTCTAACCACGTCCCCGCCCCTACTCCCAGGCCGCACCCTCTGCGCTTGCTAAGTGTGTCCTGGCTGAGGTGCCCAGACAGGTGGTGGAATACTACGCCAGCCAGGGCATCAGCCCAGGGGCTCCCAGGCCTTGCACACCGGCCACGACCCCCAGCCCTAGCCCGTGACTGCTTCCCACTGGACCGACACTCCCTCAGCCTCTCAGTGAGTCCTGGGAGCCCAAAGGGGTGGACAGGGGTGCAAGGTGGTGTTTGGTGGAGCTCATCTGGGCTCAGCGTTGTGTAGAGGAAGGTGCTTATGACTATTCCACCCTGTCCCAGGTGCCTGTCCTGACCCTTGTGATTCAAGTGACCAGTGCCTGTCCCTCTTGGACCAGCTGTGCCCCCTCGGTCCTGGAAGCGCGTGGTGAGCTCTGCTCTATCTCTCCAGGCCCCATACCCCTCAGCCTTGTGACTTTCTTCAGTGATCCTGACTTTCTGGTCGTTAATAAAGGGAACCACTCCTAGCACCTCAGCCTCTATCCATCATGCCTCAGATGCCCAACACCAACCCATCCATACACACCATTAAGAAATGAGGACCAGCACCTTTCAGAATCTGAGCCAGAGCTCCCAGGCAGTCTGGTATCTCAGCTATCTCAGCACACACCCCAACTGTGTGCCAGTGGGATGTGATGAGCCTCTACCCTCACCTCCCAACCCCAGGGGGCCCAGCACCATGGAGGTTAATTACCAGAGATGGGGGGGTTTAATAAGGGGCTGTCAAAGGGGCAGGTTGATGCCCTCTTACAGCTGTCTCCAGAGAAGCCCAGCTGAGTCCCCCACAAGCTAAACTCCAGCCCCCACACAGCTGTGGGGCGGGCCCAGAAGGGGTGTTGGGGTAGACTGAAGGAGGGCAGCAGGTCTGTTAATGAATTATGAATATAAAGGGAGCATCTTAGGTCCGTGCAGACTGGTTTTCCTGGGCATGTGAATGTGTGTGCAATGTGTGTGCTCATGCACTGCACATCCCTGCCTCTTCATGAGTGTAGTCTTAAAGGTTCAGGAAGTCAGGCTGTGTACTCTTAATAACATTAACAACAGCAGTGAAACATTATTGTTTGGCATGTGTTAAACTTTGTGCTACGAGCTTTAAATGTATTCACTCTCACAAATCAAGTGACGCTCCATTTAAATTCACCCATCATCAAAGAACTGGTGGGCCTCGAACTTGAGCCCAAACCCATCTGTGCCCATACCCTTAATCACTAGTGTGCAGCTTCTGTGAGGTGTATCCATGTGAGCCTCATCTTGAGACCCAGGTGTATGTATACGTAGGCTGATTGTGTGTACGGGGGTAGGTGCCTGTGCATGGTGTCTCTCTCTGCCCATGTGTGTGCTGTGCAGGAACTCAGCCAGTGAAGGAAGGTGTGCAAGAGCAGGGTGGGGTCTGGACTGCAGCTCCAGAGAACAGGCAAGGCACTTGTGATATCCAGAATAAGAGAAGAAAAGATGGGACCCTGGAGGGACCCTCCCTGACCCAGCCTCTTCCTTCAATGATGCATGTGGAAGGAGATGAAGGAGGAGAGGCTCTGTGAGCCACTCAGAGAGAGGAGCCAGAGCCAGAGAGGGTGGCCAGTGGCCAGTGGTGGAGAAGGAGAGGAGAAGAGAAAGAATCCTGGGGGAGATGGAGGAGATGCCTCCCATTGCAGGCTCCTGAGTGGAAGAGGGATGAGTTGGGCTAGAGGAGGGGGAGGAGAGAACAAGAGCTGTGATGGGAAGAGACAGCTGGGGAGGGGGTGGATAGAGGGGGCAGAAAGGAAGAGAGACATATGGGAGCCTCTTCCCCACCCTCGACTGCTTCTCCCTATTTATTATGTCCCTTAGAGGACCTACGACAATGGCTGGTGAGGTAGCTGCTCCCAGCTCAATGCCTCTGCTCTGCCCAGAGCCCCCGCCTACTCTCTCTGTAGGCAGATGAACCAAAGGGCTGGGTAACCATGGCAACTGTGGGACCTCAGGATAGCCATAGGCAGGCCTGGCCCAGTCACTGATGCTGCTCGGCTTCTGTGCAGTGGCGGTGGGAAGAGGAGACTCCATCTGGCCCAATCCCCACCCTTCCGCCCCATTTTCATTGGGCCTCTAGAACTGAGACATAGCACGCGTGCGCGCATGCACACACACACACACACACACACACACACACACACCCCAGGAGCAAGGCTAAAGAATGAACACTTCTTAAATTGCAAGAACATCCAGCCAATAGTGTAAAGTTCTGCCTGAACTTCAAGTTTAATTCATAAAAACTGCATTCTTTCAGCATCTTGTCATGCTGGGCAAAGGCTCACCTCAGCCCTCAGCAAGGCAGGAGGTAACAAGGGTACCCTATGCAGGTGTGGAGGCCAAGGCAGCTTGGAGAGAGCAGCAGAGGACCAGTGCACGAGCTCACTGCCTAGGCTGCTTTCAGGAAGCAGGAGCAGGACAGGAAGTCCCTTTGGTGAAGGGTATCTTGGGGGGGTTCTTGGAAAGACTCTTGGGGCTCCCACACCAAGGAGATGCCAGAACTGGAAAGGTGTCAGAAGTCATCCAATCCAGGATCAGATGAGGTAACCAAAACCCAGGGAGCAAGTGATTTTCTCAAGATGACAGAGGTACCCTGTGGCAGAGCTGGGACCAGCACTCAGGTCTCCACACTCCTGCCCAAAATTCTCACCCAGTCCACGCCAACCACCCCTACTGTTCCTCAAGCCTTTGCTGCTCTGAGCCCTGGAGGCCACTGGATGGGATAGGATGAAAGCCTCATGGATAGAGTTCCTAGTCTCTGTCTTGCTGTTGGTGATTGAAATCTTGAAATATGCAGTAGTCCTAGCATGAGGTGTTTACAAGCCTCAGAATGAAAATACTGCTTCATTGCTAATTACCACCTTAATGCGCTACAGGTTGAAAACCTTGAATTAAAATCTAAACTGAGGGGGAAGTTACACCACTCCCTCGCCTCCCATACACTGTCACCCAGCTATCATCCACGCCTCCCCTACCCCGCCGCCCCACCCAGGCAGTGCCCGGCACTGTCTCCTCCAGATCTCAGTGTCCTGGTCATGTGAGGTGGAACAGGAGGTGGGGGGCTGTGTACGCTGCCTGCCTGCGGAGACCTCTTTCCCAGAAAATGACCGGCATCTAACCTCGGGGCATGCCTTGGGCAGTCCAGGAAATTTGGGGGATATTTATGTAGTCATTTAACGGAGTGTCTGGCACCAGAAGGCGCTCAGTAACCATCTAGTGAATGGTAAAGTGGCCTCCTGGGTGGTGCCCCCCACCCACCTACTACACCACACGGCCGCCCCTAGCGACTCAGAGGAAGAAGTGGGCGTGGTCCCCGGCCCCGGGGCCGCTCGAGGTCAGCCGGTCACAGCGAGCCTTGTAGAGGTCGCGCTCCCTGGCCAGGCGGGCCACCTCGGCCCGCAGCGCGTCCAGCTGGGCGGCCAGGCGGGCGCGCTCAGCCTCTAGCCCCCGCCGCTGCTGCAGCCGCTTGGAGCGGCAGGCCTGCGCGTAACCGCGGTTCTTCAGCGTGCGGCGCCTCTGCTTCAGCCTCAGCGCCTCGTCGCGCCCGCAGCCCCGCAGCTGCCGGTTTAGCTCCCGCACAGACATCGACACCAGCGCCGCGTCCGAAAACCGCTCCGCCAGCTGTAGACGGAGAGCGCAGAGAGCGGGGTCAGCGCCGGGTCCGGCCCGGCCCCACTCTTAGGTCGCGAGCGGGACTACCCCGCCCTCGGGAAGGCTCCGCCCCGGGCCCCCACCTTTACCTGCTGTTCGCCCTTCCACAGAATCCACCCCGCAGTCCAGACCCCGCCCCAGATCCCAACAAGCCCCTCCTCCCCGAGGGGCACGCTCCCGCCCCTCGCTGCAGGCCCCGCCTCTCACGGTCCCACGGGCGACTCACCCGCCTGAAACCCGCGCGGTCTCTGCGCGGCCCTTAGCATCCTGCTCCAGGCTCCCTGGATGTCCGGCGGACACACGCCCAGACAGACCCCACCCCGCCAATGCACCTTGCTCCCCTGTCCTAACGGCCGCAACCCTGTGACCCTCAAAGGATTTGGATTACATCCTAATGCGCTCAACACCTCCATCTGTGTCTATAATTAATAGGATGAGTTCCAATCCTTCCTGCGAAGGTTGGGGGCTGGGGAAGCACGATGCCTTCCTTGAAAAGGCCAACCTCATTCCCCGTGCCGCTATCTCAACTCCACTCCATTCTAAGCACAACCCCTTCCCTAGTTTCCATAGACAGAGTAATTTGAGTAATTTGCCTCCCCGTAATCAACGGCTCCCCTTTAATTCTCAACTCTCCCCTTTTGGTCTTCCTCTAACCTTATCTTCTCCCTCTTCCTCCTGGTTTAGACTACTCATTTCTCTCCATTTGGGAAAAAGAGAAGGGGCAGAAAATAGTTTTTTCCCTCTGATTTCTTTCAAGGGCCTTTGTCTTCTCCTGCCCTCGGTCTTTTGCCCAATCCTTAACCCTCTCCGGGAACTCTCCGTCCTCTCTTGGGTTGTCCTCCCTCACCCTGCCTCCCCTTAGACCAACTCACTGATCACTCACCTGGGCATGCTGGGCTCCTGTCTCTTCCGGGCTCCCTGGGTAGTAGCTGTGGGGACCCTCAATAGGGACTGGCCCTTGACCCTGCAGCAGCTCAACAGCCTCCTCAGGACTCAGGCCCAGTGCCTCCCCAGCCCCCAGCTGCTGCTGTAAGGTGGCCAGCCAGTACAGCTCCTCCAGGCCTGGCCGAGGGACCTCGGTGGCCCCCACCATGCCTGGATCACTGAAGGTGGGTGAAGGAGGCACTGAGCTGTAGGGTGTGGAGCCCAGTGAGGCTGTTGGAGGGCCAGATCGCCCCTCAGAGGGTTCTCGCTTTACCTCAAATTTCATCAAGTCAAAGTCATTGACATATTCCATAGCCAGGGGGCTGGGAGGCAGTGCCATTCTGGGGCTGGATTGGGAGGGGTGCACCTGCAAAAAAAGAGGAAAGGTTGGGAGCACCTGGAGGCTGCCTGCCAGCCTCCTTATGAGAACCTCCTTCTTCCAAAGTCCAAGTGCCCTGGAGAGCCAGAGTTCTAGAAAGCAGGGGCAATGGTGCAACACTGTTCCCTAAATAAATAGTCACCTCCAGACGGGGGCAACTTTTCAGGTGGCAGGGGCTCCGGCAACCAGCTTAAAGGCCTGATTGAAGGAAAAGAAAGCACATAGTCTGGCCCCACGGCTGCCTCTGGAGCTGTGAAAAACAAGAGGAATATGGCAGTGCTCCCAACTCTAGTGCTAGGACAGACTGAGAGGCTCTGTCATCTCAAGAGACATCATTTCATTTCCAAGCAATCAAAAATTTTTGCTTAATTAACTGTGACAGAGTATGTGTCTATTTTAGTACAATGGGAAGGCATGTATGCCATGAATTTTAATATATAAGGATAACATGTTATATCTCTCTCTCAGAACACCTAAGCCAATTCCTTGCACATAGAAGATCCTCAATGCACATCTGTTCTATGGATTAATCAATCAATTAATTCCTTTCATAGGAGTATGAGGCTTTCCAAGGAAAAAAGAAAGGTCCTAGAGTCAGTTCTAGAACGATCAGGACTGAGTGGTGACCATCTTTACCCCAAGCCAATCTCTCCAAAGGGAACCAACCATGATTGGTTTTCCTCCTTCAATTCAGAACCTGCTATGCGGTATGAACTTGGACAGACGACCTTCCCCTTTCTGACCCCAGTTTCCCCTTCTGTTCAATAAAAGCAATTAGACTTTAACATTTTCCAAAGAATGTTCCAGGAAACGGCAAGTGTGAGAAATACCCAAGAAGTCGATGCTCAGATAATTTTGAGAAATGCTGCCTCCTATCCCCGTGTTTTGCAGATTCACAAAGCACAGCAACATATTAATCTAAGAAGTCCTTCAGTAAACCATCTGTTCAACCTCAACCCAGAGCGTCCCAAACTTGTCACCAAGGAGCTCTCCTCCCTGTTATCAAGCAGAGTGTGTGCTCACCGGTGAAACTTCAGACTAGATGACCTCAGGGATCCTTCTGCAGCTTGGAAGTCCCAAGCTCTAGCCCAGCTCCCAGTTCCAACAGCCCCACTGCCAGCCCCCTAAGGGGCAAGGCAGGGAGTGCTTTTCCCCAGGGCTTGGCATTTGGCTCCATCTTGATACCCCAAGCCTACGTAGCTCTTCCTCTAGACATATCAGACCCTCAGGCTCTGCCCAGAGAGGTGAGAGGAAGGACAAGTCTTTGTCTCTTCCTGTCCTAGGCAAGGGTTGTTGCCCTATCTACTCACCCCCTCACCCTTGAAAGGACAGAGGGGTAGAAACAAAGACACAGATTGAAGGAATGATCCTTGGCAGAGAGGAGATGGTGAAACAGTGAGAGGGGTGTCCAGAGAGAACTGAATAAAGAGATAAGTGAGGATACTTGTGAGGATAGTTATTTATCTTTCAGATGTGATAGCAGTAAGGGACATAAACCAGCCAGGGTGGGAGTGCGGCAGGGGACAGAAGTGTGAAGATTCTTTTTTTTTTAATGTTTTATTTATTTCTGAGAGAGAGAGAGAGACAGCATGAGCAGGGGAGGGTCAGAGAGAGAGGGTGACACAGAGGCTCCAGGCTCTGAGCTAGCTGTCAGCACAGAGCCCGACGCGGGGCTCAAACCCATGAACCGAGAGATCATGACCTGAGCCAAAGTCGGACGCCCAACTGACTGAGCCACCCAGGTGCCCCTAGATGTGTGAAGATTCTTGAAACTAGACAACAGAGAGCAGACAGCAGGTGACAGAGGAGAAGGCTGTAGGTGAAAGGCCAGGCACCCAGGTAGGCCCCAAATATACTCACTTGGGGGATGGTAAAGATGATATGGTCAGTGTCAGAGGCAGGCAGGCACAGTTTCCCCAGAGACTGGAGACCCCATTGAGCAGGGCCTGGTGCCTCTGTGCTCAGAACAAGGCGCTGTGGGCACTGAGCCCACAGGGCACTCTTAAAGGGCCAGCTCTCTGAGGTCATCTGTGGTCCTCAGGCCTGCAGCCAATGAGGTAAGGGGATCATTTGCATATCTCTTTGACCTGGGGGGTTGAGGGGGGAATGAGAAGAGGGAAGAGGATGGGTATGCTTGTTCTCAAGGAAGGAAAGAGGGCATCTTCCCAACAAAGTTCCTCACTGATGGTGCGTCTCACAGGCACTCAGTTCCTGGTACAGAGAGCTGCATTGGCCTGGTCAGCCACCGTCATTGAATACCACCCTCAGCCCACAGTGATTGAGAGCCTGGGACTGGAAAAGAGGCCCAGAGAAGCCCCCGACACGACACCCTCGCCCTTCAGTGCTCTACAGTGTCTTGGCAACGTTTGGGGGGATACAAGTGGGCTGAACCTACTCTCCCCGAGCCAGTTGGGTCTGTTTCCTGTTTTCAGGAATCTTCACATTTCTGACCTCCTGCCCCACTTCCACTGTGACTGGACACATACTCCTCACAGCTATCATATCAGAAGGACAGGCGACTGTCCCTGCGGTGAATCTCTAGGACTTGGCTACCCAATCCTCAGCCTCTCCCACTCTTGATGACCAGTCCCAGGACAGGCAGCCCAGCGGGAAGGAGCAGGAGAAGGGAGAGTGGGGCTCCCTGCTCCTTCCTTCCGGGCCACCTCGGGACACTGAAATCTAATCACCACCAATCCATCTGAGACACTTCTGTAACTGCCCTCACACACCCTCTGCTTCCCCTCACCTTTTCCCTGCGTGTGTCTCCGTCCCTCTCTCTTCCTCTCTCACTCATCCTGGTTCCCAGATGGCTAGGGGGTGACCTACATTTCCAGCCTAATCCCCTAACACCTCTTAGAGCTCTCATCCCTGAGTAGAAGTTGGAACAGGGATGCTCGGAATTAGCTAAGGAGGTTTTTAAACCTGTCTGAAGCTGTTTAAAACAAGGTGTGTAGAATAGAACTCTATTCCCTACCTGGTGAGTCTACCCAAATGTTCCCATGAGGTTCACAGAGGGCCTCTCTGTCCCAAGTCAGAGAGAGATCTGGGTGTGATCAGCCCTAAAGATCATCAGTTATAAAAATTAACCTGGTCCCAGCCTTAGGTGTTAGGTGAAAAGCTGATAGATTCAGATGGCCTAAGACAATGGTTCTCAAAGTGTGGGCCCCAACAGCAGCAGTACCTGGGAACTTACTAGAAACGCATATTCTCTGGCCTCACCTCAAACCTACTGAATCAGAAACTCTGGGATTGGGAACCCCCCCCCCCCACCTGTGTTTTAATAAGCCTTTAGGCAACTTTGATGAACACTGAAGTTAGAGAACCACTGGTCTGCAGAATACCTCCAGTCAACTCAGCTCCCATGTGTGTGTGCCTGGTCTCTCCCATCATGCTCCGCACACGCATATAAGAAGCCCTAGATCAGATGACATCATTCTTCTTCCTGCATTTCGTGGAGCAGAGATGGCTGTGGTTATTCAAGTCATAAGGTTTCTCAGTGTCATTGCCTGGATCCAGTTGTTTTTGCAGAAGAACCAGAGCCTAGGAACAAGGCCACTTCGTAGGAATGGGGATCATAGAGACCAGGGAATCCTGCACACATTTCCATGGAATGTAGCTTTGAGGCACATAGCCAGGAAAGAGACCCCAGAACTTCCTGTGTTGAAGAAGGAATAGGAAATGTTGAATGTAGCCCCTTGCTCATGCTTGGCCTGGCCAGACACTTGCCCCCGAGCAGCTGTCAGGTCTGTGCTGATCTTCTTGTTTACTGGATGGCTCAAAGGAAAGGGGGAGGGGGGGGCGTGGGCGGCGGGTGGCTAAGCTGCTAACGGGCTAAAAGAGTCAGACTAAACAAGCTCAGGCAAGCTGAGCCGCTCAGGGCTCAGACCAGGTGCCACCGACTAGGGAAAGGAGTCCGGGAAGTGAGGGCTGGGCCACAGAATACAAGCAAGGGCACAGAGAGGAGAGGCTGTGGCAGCCAGTGGAGACCCAAGAGGTAGTTAATGGGCCCCCTTGATGGGGGTGGAACCAGGGCCTGGGAGATGCATACTGAGATTGACTGGCTCCAGGACATCTGGGGACAGGGAAATGAGAGTGAAAAAGATGAAGGCAGGTGGACTTCAGAAATGACAGAACAGAGGAAGGGAGGCAAGAAGGCTTAGCTGAGGGTGCAGTAGGTGTAGACCTGGGATGAAGGGCAGAACAAGTCAGCGGCTCCCCAGAGATTTGTATTAAAGGAGCTGGAGGGATGTAGGCACATGGAAGAGGTGGGCAAAGGGCCATGACAAACTAAAAGAGAGAGAAAGTCTTCCGGAGAGGACCAAGAGAGAAGTAGGGGTAAAGAGAGGTGGTAGGCGGAAGAGACCAGAAGAACAAAGGAGGTAGAAGGAAGGGACCATGGAAAGTAAGACTGGGGACAAAGAACTAGAAGCAGATACAGAGGAACAGACAGAGAGATGGTCAGGTCATAGAGGAAACACAGCTGCCAAAAGAGAAAAAAGGAGAAAGATATAAACAGAGGAATGTTGGACAACGGGGGAAGAAGACCAGGCAGATCAAGGGCCGGGAGAATTGGGATATAAAATGAGAGGGAGGAGAGGAGAGAGAGTCAGTAATCCAGGGCGCCATCACTACCTCCTCTGTCCTGCACTCCCATATTTTGAGCCCATAAGACCCTGTAAGACCTAAAAGATCTGGCCTTTGGTGTCTAAATCTTCAGTAATGGATCCAAATTTTCAAACATCTTCCCGGTCTGCCTGGTGTGTTCATTCGACAAGTGTTTATTAAGCACCAGGCACCGTGCTAGGCTTTAGCGACACCTCGGTAAATTAGACTGATGCCAGCCCTGCCTTCATGGAGCACGCAGACTGATGAAACAGAGAAACTTCATGTTTATTGCCCTTAGGCCCAGGCAAAAGTGGCCCCTGCCCTGAGCCCTGCGCTTTTGGAAGGCTCCATTCTGG